TCGCAGTATCTTTCTTTGACATATTATCTCTTGCAAGAATACAACATGGAGGAAATGCTTCGGCTATAATGTCAAGTGGGGAGAAAAAGCACCACCCCACATTGATTCTGCAGCATGATCTCAGCAAATCTCACAGACAGAAGACCAGAAGAAAATGTGCTTCTGGTTCGTGGGATTACGGGTGGTTTTATCCTGCTTCTTTGTACTTCCAAATGTTTGGCATCGATTCCCTTGAAACCCTTCCCTAAAAAGAGTACAAAAATGGAATCTGAAAAAGAAACACCTTGCCAAAAGTACAGTCAGCTTTCTCACCTTGTGAGCAATGTGATTAAAGTATCACATTTAAATACTGGATTTCTTCCTTTCTCCTTCACGGGATGGGGATTTGTGCGGGCGGTGGTGTGGTCCTGGCTCTAAAATCTCACAGCGCAGAGCCGGGGCTTGGAGCACTAAGCTTTCCGACACCTCTCTGCTCTGCGGGAGTTGCTGCCTTCCCAGACACCTGGGCTGGCGAGTCCGTAAACCAGATCTGTCACCCGGGCTGCCATCTCCCCGCCCTCTGGTGAGGCCATGAGGGAATGCCAGCGAGGGAGGCATGGTGCCCAGGGTTAACCAAGGGCACAGGCTCCAGAGACAGGCCAAGCAGAGATCCACATCCCAGAATCTGGACACACACCCTTTGTACTCCTTGGACAGTCAGGCAGGGATGATGGAGATAACTCAGAACAGATGTGGGGACACTGGTCAAGGCTCAGAAACCCAGTTGCTTTCCTGGCCCTGCCACTGGCTATGTGGTCTTGAGGAAGTCGTTGGACCTCACAGAGCCTCCTGTGGTCTCTGCCTCAAGGAGGCGGGTGGACTTAAAAGACTTCAAGTTCACTTCCATCTCTACAGGCTACCAGGTTGTATCTTGCTACCTGTGGCCTTGCCTCTAAGAATAGACTAGTTCCAGTTATTCCCCGCGGCCACCATGTTGCCCTCAGCTAATCTCGCTGTGCAGAGAGAGGGTCTCTCCTGAGAGCGGCAGATCTTCTCTATCAGCACTACTGGGTTTAGCAGACCACCCTGGCTGCCCTACCTGTGGGGCCAGGCTCTGGACCTTCCAAGGTGACCACCCTGGATGTGCCCCAAGCCCTCCCTTCTCCTCGGCCTCACACGGCAAGGGGAGGGCTGCTGGAACTGTGTATTAATCTGTGGGTATGTGTGTGTCTCCATGGACACAAATTATAGTAAAAATTCAGTTTCGCTAAATGTACTCAATGTATCCTGGATTGGATCCGAGAACAGAAAAAGGACATTAGTAGAAACCCTGGTGAAATCCGAAAAAGTCTAGGGTTCGGTTAATAATCGCGTACCATTGTTAGTCTCTTAGTTCTGACACGTGTGCCAACATTACATAAGATGTTAACATTAGGGGAAACTGAGTGTGGATATATGGGGACACTCCATATTATCTTTGCAACTGTTCTGTAAATCTAAAACGGTTCCGCCTAAAAAAGTTTATCACAAAAATTCAGTTCCCAAGTTTTATTACAACCCAATATAACAGATTGATTTGGAGGTTAAACCAGCAAATCTACTATTCAGTTGAACTTTGATTTTTTACTGTGGTATAATGTACTTACTTAAGGTACACAAATCTTGTGTGTACAGCTCATTGAACTTTGACATATGAATTAGCTCTCCTAATCGGCACCCGATCAAATAGTAGAATGTTTCCAGCACCCAGAAGACTCCTAGCTCCCCGTGAACAGCTCTCCTTCTCCAGAAATAGCTACTTTCCTGACTTATACACCACAGATTTGTTTTGCCTGTTCTTGAACTTCATATAAATAGAGTCATCAAGTTTGTAGTCTTTTGAATCTGGCTTCCTGCACTCAATACATAATGTCTGGAAAACAACCATGCTCTTGTGTGTAGCAGTAGTTCACTCTTTCATTACTGTGAACTATCCCATTGCGTGAATGCTGCCCAGTTCGGTTATCCATTCTGTTTTCGACTGACATTTGGCTTATTTCCCCTTTGGGACTCTTACGAATAAAGTTACCACAAACATCCTTATACATGTCTTTGGCAGCTATTTGCATTCATGTCTCTTAGACACATACTGCAGAGAGGAAGTGCTGGGTCATAGAGTAGTTGCATGTTCACTTTTAGTAGGTACTAGTAAACAGCTTTCCCAAATGGTCATACCAGTTACACTTCCTCCAGAAATCCATGAGAGTTCCAGTTGTTCTATGTCCTTGCTAATATTTACTGTTGTCAGTCTTTTTCACTGTAGTCATTCTAGTGGGTATCTGATGGCTTTAACAGGCATTTCTCTGATGACCATGTGTTTAGCAGCCTTTGTGATATCCTCTTTTGTGAAGTGCCTGTTCAAGTCCTTTGCCCATTTTTATTGGATTGTCTTTTTCTTGTTGGTTTGTAGGAGCTGTTTATAAATTTTGGATCTACAAGTCCTTTGTCAGACATATGTGTTATAAGTATCTTCTCCCCATCTATGGCTTTTCTTTTCATTCTCTTAGTGGTATTTTTCAATGAATAGATAAGTTCAACTTTAACCAAATCAACCATTGCTTTTTTTTTTATTCAAGTCAGAAGATTTTGATATTTGTATACATTTAGAAGTAGAATCTTGAGAGATCATCTGTGCTAGCAATTCTTGATCCTTATGTTCACTAGAATAACTTGAGGAGATTTGAAAAAATACTCATCCTTGGGTGCCACTACCAGAGATTTCGAATCAGTTGGTCAGGGCTGGAGCCCAGGCATCATCATGGTTTAAAAGCTCCCCAGGGAATTCTAACAAGCACTTGTAATGGAGACCCACTGACTTCTGTGAATGGAGAGACTCCAAGAGAATAATTGTCTGAGCTTGGCAGTGTCTAGATGTCTTATCTTACTCCCGACTCATCTCAAGACCCTTAGCAGATGACTGACTTTTCCAGAGTAGTTAGCAGAGGCCAGCTCCTGATACAATCCTCTGTGGGTTTTTCTCTCTTAAAGCTCTCAGTTTACCTCGGACAGTCCTGGTTGATGCCCACTGTCTTGGTGTTATTATACGTAACATTCTCCTTTCACTCTCAAAAGGGTCCTGATTTGGATAATACACTTTGGGGCCACCCTACCTCCAAACCTCTTGACAGTACACTGCCCCTGGCCCACACAGCCTTGCCCTCACTCTCTTGACAGGGCCTCTGGCATCTGCATAGCTAAAGTCACAGGGTTTAGAAGACAGCAGGTGGCATCCCCAAAGGAGAGGAGCTTGCTTTCCACCCCAGCAATGACCAGGCCCTAATTCCTTACCTTTCCAGCTGGATTTCATAAATCCCCACACAGAGAAGTAGCACCCAGATAGGAGGCCAGGGCCAGGAAACACCCAGAACAAAAGCCACACCTCCAGCTCCCTACACTGTGAAAATCCCATTTAACCACTGTGTGGCCACATGGAGACTCAGCTCCATTGCAAGAACCAATGACTGTTGTCATTGATCCCTGCCATCAAACTATTAGATGGATCCAATCGGTAGGAGGGCCTCTGATGGGGGCAAGGAGGGCAAGTGGACTTGGGTCATATGACAAGAAGTGTCAGCCCCTTCCACCCAGGCCCTGCCCCCCTCAGGTTATCACCCTCATGACAGCCAGAGTGGCCTTCTCCCTGCTCTATCTACACAAGCACACCCCTGCCCCTCTCTCTTCCCACAGTGGCATGCCTGTCATTGCAAAGACTGAATGCCCCAGAGCAGCTCTGTGCCACAGACGCACATCCAGCAGCCCAGCACCTCCTGTCCCCTTCACTCTTCTGAATTCTCTGATTCATCTGAATTTCATTCCTACCTTTAGCCACATCACCTGTACAAAAATACCTTAGGATGGATGACTATAGCAGGTTGAGTGGTGGCTCCGAAAGATAGATCTGTGTTCTAACCCTCAGAACTGGTGAAAGTGACATTTTTTGGAAAAGAGTCTATGCAAAGATAATTGAGTGAAGGATCACCCTGGGTTACCCAGGTGTGCCCCAAATCCACCAACAGGTGTCTGTATAAGAGACAGAAGAGAAAACACAGGAGAAGGGGAGAAGGCCATTCAAAGACACGGGTAGCTGAGACCCGAGGACTACCTGGGGTCACCAGACGCCGTAAGGGGCAAGGAAGGGTTCTCCCCAGGTCCTGCTGACACCTTGATTTTGGACCTCTAGCCTCCAGAACAGTCAGAGAATACACTTTTGTTGTTTTAAGCCACCAAGTTTGTATTGATTTGTTGCAGCTTCAGGAGTTAACTTAATTTTCCTGGACCCCCTTACCTCCCTGCAAAGCTGTCTCCCACGCTGTCTGCTCTAAAGCATCATCGAGAACACACACTCACACACACACACACACACACACGCACACAGAACACGCACGCACAAACGTGCACACACAACACACATGTACAAACGTGCACACACAACACACATGCACATGTGCACACACACATGCACACACAGCACGCACACACATGCACATACATGCGCTCGTGAGCGCGCGCGCGCACACACACACACACATACACACACACTCTTCTGCTAATTTACATCTTTGTCTCAGTCTTTTCCCAGGAAGATAATGAGCGTTTACCAAGAAGAAAAGGGCTGGACTCGGCCACTGATACAGACCTGCACGGAAGCGGGGGCTGGGGGGCAGCAGGCAGGCTGAGCCATGCAGAGCGACGTCTCCCTGCCTTCCCTGCCGAGGGGCTGAGGGAAGCCAGGTTCCTTCAACCTCTGGGCTGAAAATCGAATCCCTGAGAAAGACCGAAACATCAAAGAAGAAAAAGAGCCAAGAGGCAGACCTCTCCGCACACTCTGAGTGAAGGGAGCTGAGAGCTGGCCGCTGAAGCCCGGGGGGGCGAGGGGGGGCGGAAGGGGAGGGAGGGGAACCCTAAGCCTCTCACTTGGGGTGTTCAAGAGGAAGGGGGATTCCGGGCCTGCAGGAGCCCTTCCTGGATGGCACACAGCTGGCTCACGGAGACGAAAACTCAGCTGGGAAGGCTTGTTTCAGGGTGAACATGAGGAAGGTGACCGCCTCGTAATTCTCCGACTCGTACAGACACCCAAACTGGGGTGACCCATCGGGGCCGGTGCCCATGCTCTGGAGGTCTGAGTAAGCGCAGCTGCCGGTGGCCAGCAGAGTGGGCTCCGACCAGGCTGTGGGGCCCGGGAGCCTCTTGTTGAGGTACACGCCCAGGTTGACCCTGTGCCCTGGGTCGGTGGGGTGAGTGTAGAGCAGCCATTTCTCCGAGGCATCAGCCCCTGCACGCGGGCTGGGAAAACTGATGACGCTCCCATGGCAGCCATGTGGAGGCTCTACCAGCTGCTCCACTAGCTGGGCCTCCTTGAAGTCGAGCCCCTCATTGGTGCTCTCGGCCTGGACCCGGGCTCTAAGGGGGCTCCGGGCATTGAGATACACCACCCTCTGCTCTGCGCCCCCGACCTCGGCCACCTGGCACTCCACAGTGTCTGGGGCCACGAAGTTCCCTCTCTGCCATGTGTGCCCGTGGTCGTGGCTGATGAAGCAGAAGGCAAATGGGGAGGGCCGCTTGAGTGGGTGAAGGTTCCGGTAAGCGTAGGCAGGCACCACCAGGCTCTGCGTTTTGTTGTGCAGCTGCAGGCAGTGCCCCGGACCCACCGCGAAAGTGGCCCATTCTTTGTGGTCTGCGCCAATGGCAAGGCTGGTGAGATCTGTGGCCGGGCTCCAGGACTTCCCGTGGTCGGTGCTGGTGACTTGGCACAGCTGCGTCATGTTAACCCTGGTGTGCAGCTGGTGGTGCTCAGACACCTGCCCTGGGATGGCAATGAAGAAGAGGAAGAGGGTTCCCGTCATCTCGTCGTACACGGGGCTCGGGTTCATGGACCGGTGGCCCTCCAGCTGGGCTTGGGCCACCACCTCCTGGGCGTGCCACTGAATATGAGGAGAGAGGAGGGAGGAGAGGGACAACTTTGAGATGGCCAGTGACAGTGACAGTGACTGCAGTGTGGGGAGATGGGCCGGTGGAGGATCCCACAGGGTAAAAATCAAAGGTCACGCAGCCCCCATTCATCGTACAACGCCTCCCCCAGAGCGGCCGGAGCCCGAGCCCCTCCATCGCCCTCCAAGGCGGCACCCTCTTCATTTGCGTGGCTACCGCTGCCATTTCCAGCAACACCCACTACGGAGCACCTGCAGTGCAGCGTGCCTGACCGTGACACACAAAGAGGATTCGGGCATGGCCATTCCAGCTTCACCCTGCTTCCTTCCACTTCCCAGCCCGCTCCAGTTTCCCATTCTTGAAAAATGAAAGCCTTATGGGGCGCCTGGGTGGCTTAGTCGGTTAAGCGTCCGACTTTCGCTTAGGTCATGATCTCGCGGTTCATGGGTTCGAGCCCCGAGTCAGGCTCTGTGCTGACTGCCAACTCAGAGCCTGGAGCCTGTTTCAGAGTCTGTAACTCCCTCTCTCTCTGACCCTCCCCTGCTCATGCTGTCTCTCTCTCTCTCTCTCTCTCTCCTAGAAATAAATAAAATATTTTAAAAAAAAGAAAGAAAATTAAAAAAAAAGAAAAGAAAAGAAAAATGAAAGCCTTAGAGTAACTCCAGTAGTCTGAGCAGGGCGGGGCAGAATATGACAGTCACCTCCCATTTCCTACACATCATAGTCTATTAATGCAGCCTAGGAGGGACGGCACCACAGTACTGAGGACCCACAACGAGCTTCCACACACAGTTCCCGAGTCTGCGCTGTACGTGCGGCAGCTCCGACCTCTCTCTCCATCCACTAATAGCTCCCCACCAATGAACAGGTCCAGCGGTAGACACCGTGCCAAGAGCATGATGTCTGCTATGCCATCTAACTAATCCCTAACTCCCGGGGGCAGGTGTTACCAGGGGACAGGTGTTACTCTGTCTCCCATCTGGAGAATGAGAGACTTAGACAGCGTGGAGGTGTTGCCCAAGCCCATGTCTCTGATAAGTGGTAGAACCAGGCCTTGACCCCGAGTCCATCAGCTTCCAACCCCATGCTCTGGCTTGCTACGGTTTAATAAAGGCCACAGGGTAATGACAAGAGTATATTAAGCCCTTCAAATGTGATAAGCCAGCCTGGGGTGTCTTCATCGAAACTACACACTTGGTCTACAAGCCAACCTTTGGGAATCTCCAATCTTTTCCCTGCTCCACAGGTTAATTTTACTGCAAGGATTCACCACCCCCCTCAGCTATGTGACACTAAACTACTCCTCCCTTGGGTTTCCAGGGATGCAGGGAGCTTTCCGAACATCAGTTTCCCTGCTTGACTTGTGCCGTCATGCAAGAAAGCAGACACAGCCAGGCCAGCTGGACGTGCTCGTGGTGACCCCATGGGAGATTTAGGTGATCCCCTGGAGACATCTTCTCTGCCCCATCTCTGAGGGGTCTCTGGGTGCCTCTTGGGATTCAGTGTGTCTTGTCCCTCGGCTCTCCAGACACCAGCCATCTGAGGATGGAACGGCACCTGGATTCCCAACAGCTGCAGCCTCACCCTGCCCTACCTGGACCCGATGGGTGGCTGCGTCGTAGCTTCCTCTGCGCATGACGATCACCTCCGCATGCTCATCCTTCTTGCTTATCCGCTGTTCCACGAAGGCCAACAGTGTCTTCTGCTGAGGCAGGTACAGCAGAGCGGGGATCCTGTAGGCATGGACTCCCGACTGGAACACTGTGTCCCTCTGCAGGCTGGGGGAAGACGCCATGGGGCTTGGGGAGGGCACAGGACAGGAAGGTGAGTCTCGCATTCACATCCTGAGATGGACAGGGCCACACCCACCCCCCAGGCAGATGCTGCTCATCCCACAGGCAAGCCGCCTGACGTTGGGGTGGCGTGTCCTTCTTCCCAGTGGGGGCTCATCCTCCTTTATTACATTCCAGGACCCTGTCTGCCAATCATGCACGTGACTCTCATAGAGCCTGGCAGCGTGTATGCGTCAGACATTTGAGACAAGGTCTTCGGAAAAGAGTATTCTGTGCCATATTTTTAATAGAAGTTAACAAACCTCCTTACGACAGATTCGTGATAACCTTCAACTGCTTTTCCCAAACCCAACACATCCATCAAATGCTAAACCCTGAGTGGGGAAAGAGCGCTTGCTGAGGGGCGCTCCGCCGCTGTCCGGCTGCCAGAAAATGACACATGGGAGTTGAGTTTTTTTTATAACTGCAGAGCCCTAGAAAGTTGCCTTAGCAAAAATTAAAAAAAAAGAAAAGTGGGGGAAAAAAGCCTGGGTTCTCAAGGCTCCCGTCCCCAGGCTGCCTGAGCTACACCCACCATGTGGGCTCCCCCCTTGGATCAGGGAGGGGGTGCAGGGAATGGAACCGGGGCAGGGAGGGGGTTCAGGGAGTGGAAGACAGAGGCTCCTGACACCTCACCTGGGCTGGAAGGGTCTTCCGGACGTAGAAGAAAATAAAAGAAAAAAATAAGTATGTGGCCATAAAGGGTAGGGAGAGCTGGACATAACTTGGTGACGGTGGGTGACAGGGGTCCCTGTGCCAGGCCACCTGGCTCCCCTTCAGGGGGACTTCACCCCCAGCTTCAGGGAGAGCTGTCAGCTCAGAGGAGGGACGGGACTGCCAGTAGCTGCAAAGAACCAAGGTCATACCCCAGGAAGGGCTCCATCTGCCCACTCTGAAGGACCGGCCCAGCTCCAGCGCTCGCCAGAGACTTGTGGCTCCCCAGAGACTGCGTCACTGCCCTCCCCTCCCACGCACCCCAGGAGGTATGCTCATTAAACCTCCCGTCCATTTCAGAGCCTGCTTCCTGGGGAGCGCTGCCTGCCACAGGCCTTAGGGGAGGGGAACCGGAAAGTGGGGTGAGCAGTAAGCAGCACGCATCGTCTTCTCTGTATCTCCGTTTCCTACCACGTACAGGTACTCTCTATTTAAAAATTAATTCGACATCTTTGAGAAGTGACTGCATTCTATCAGTATTTTATTCAATCCACAATGAATATTATTGTTAGGCCAATATAACAAAATAAAACTAATAAAGGCAAATGCTGCCAACGTGAAAATGTGTGGTTGCCTAAACGTGGGTGGAAGAGCTAAATCTTCTTGATACAGTCTAGACCTGTAAACTGTAATCCAGGAACATGCAGTTTAGTAGAGGGAAGCGTGGCTAAATTGAAACCTTGTTATGAAATGTGGATGGGAGGGGCGCCTGGGTGGCTCAGCTGGTTAAGTATCCGCCTTTGGCTCCGGTCAGGATCTCACGGCTCTCGAGGGTTTGAGCCCGGCATCTGGGCTCCATGCTGACAGCTCAGGGCCTGGAGCCCACTTCGGATTCTGTGTGTGTCTCTCTCTCTGCCCCTCTCCCGCTCGTGCTCTGTCTCTTTCTGTCTCTCAAAAATAAATGCTAATTAAAAGAAATGAAATGTAGATGGGAAAGAATCAAATGGGATTAAAAATAAAAATGAAACGGGGAAGAAAGATCTTCTCTAGAAAAAAAGATTTTCTCTAGAAAACTGATCAACAGTGTCCTGGGTGTGTGTCTTGGGTATTTACGTAGGAGGGGAGCTGTTGGGTCATATGGTAACTATGTTTAACTTCTCGAGGAACTGCCTGACTGTTTCCACATCAGCTGCAACACTTTACATTCCCACCAGCCATGTCAAGATTCCCAATCTCTCAACGCAACACTGGTTATTGTGTTTTATTGATAACAGCCATCCTACAGGGTGTGAAGTGGCATCACGCTGTGGTTTTTTTGATTTGCATTTCCGGATGACTAATGTTGAACCTGTGCTTACTGACCGTCAGAGCTGGATTTTAGCCTGGAGGCAATGGGAAGATTTCAGATTTGTTTAGGCAAGGCAGCGATCTAACCTGATTTATTTTTTAGGAAGTCTCTCTTCGGGCTCCAGGTAACTGTTGAGGGAGGGGGGAGGGCAGAGTGCTGGGGGGGGGGTGCAGAAGATGAATCCATCACAAGCTTCCAGGCTTGCACTGTTTTCCAGATTCTTTCCTTAGACTCTGCTCTCCTATAGGGTGGGGACAAATTTCTTCATTCCTAATAGCAAATATTTATTGTGCTTCTACCTTGTGCCCTGCATTGTTCTAGAAACTCAGGATGCTTTGTGAATTAAAAAAATAAAAGAGATCCCTGGATTTGTGGAGTTTGTGTTCTAGTGGGGACAGGGTGGTTAACTTTATTACCAAACACCGAATGGTGCTCACTAGGACAAGGACTCGCCTGAGCACTCCACAGGGGTGGCCTTATCTGACCTCACAAAAGCTCCCATCAATGCCTGGTCCTCTGAAAACCTGTGAGGCTGAGAGCCATGCCTCTGTGTGAAGAGAGGCTGGCATGGACAAGGGAGGCTGCGGACGCGTGCTAACCCAGTCCCCCTCGGGCTGCTAGGCTAAGTTTTTGCCCCATGTGTATTTCAAGCCAACGCAGACACAGGAAGGCAGGTGACCTTCCTGTGAGATGATGACCTGAGCCGAGATCAAGAGTCAGACACTCAACTATCTGAGCCACCCAAGTACCCCTATAAACGTTAATATTTATAATACTATTTATAAATATTCACTTATTTAATGCCTGTGAAACCCCTACAAAATAGACACGACTTTTATCCCATTGTACAGATGAGGAAACTGAGCTCACTAACACTTAAGTGTCAGAGCTGGGACCAAAGACACTTCTAACTCCCCACAATACTGACTCAGGGTGGAGTTCCAGAAAATACCGTCTTCCAGAACCTTGTTACACTTCTGGTGCTTTAGCACCTGGTATTGGTACCTGGCCCATCTGGGCCCAGCTCTGGGTCATGGCAGCAGCTTGAAACCAACATAGCAGGAAGAGAATTGAATTAGGAGTCGCAACATCAGATTCTAGTCCTAGGACTAGATTGTGTATCTCGGGGCAAGAACCTACCTCCCTGGGTTCCATCTCCCCACGTGGCAAGAAGGGAGCTATAGGAGGTGACCACACAGGCCCCTCCATCTGCAGCAGGGGCTGACTCCTTGGGGGAGGGGAGGACAGGGCCCTCAGCACAAGCCAGCCTCAGGTGCCAGCATCCAGGCGGTCGGCGAGGTGACAATGTCAGGCTGAGCCATGAGAAACCACCATATTGTAGGCCAAAAACAGTTGAATCATGGTGATTTCGGATGGTCCCACCCAAAGGAACCAGCAGCTGACATGGCTTGAGGTCTTGTGGGGCCCAGGCCCAGTGCAAAGCATCTTACAGAAGGAAGCTCACGTCTCCCCACGCAGCCCACAAGGCTGGCTTTCGTGCCGCCATCTCAAATGTAGGGAAACTGAGAGGTAGAGGCAGGGAGGCAGGAGGTGACCTCCTGGAGTGCGTGGTGTGGGTGGATAGGTGTGAGCCCGGAGCTGCCAGATTCTAGAGCCCACACCTCTAACCTGCTGCCATGGGACCCACGGCCGAGACGCACATCGAGAAGGCTTTCTCAGAAAAAGCAAGCAGTCCAGCTGGCCTTCTCTCTCCTGCTGGGAGGACAACCAATGGGCTCCTTTCAAACCCAAAGGCCTCCACATGCCCCTCCAGGAAGATGCTTCGGCAGCTTACAGATTTGCACTGAGCATCTTCTAGACGCACAGATAAACACTGATCCCTGCTCTCCAAGAGCCTCTAGTAATAAGTGAGAACCAAGAATTCTGAGGACGAGGCAAGAGGCACACTTTGCAGCTTTTCCCAGAGGAACAGCCCTTGTTCTTGGGGGTTAGTTTGGGGGGGGGGGAATGTCTGCCTGTTGGCTACCATGTTGAAATACCAGCTCTCCGAAGAGCAGGAAGTTACCTGCACCGGGACCACCGACCACCAGCAAAGCAAGCATGGGGGGCCACAAGCCTGGCAGCTTCTTTTCCCAAGAAAACCCTATTTCCAATGGGTTCAACAAATCAGCTTGGGCCCAGTGCCTTGCTGGCTGGGATTCCTGCCCCCCAGGCTAAGAAGAGCTTTCTTGATTTCCATGTTAGTACAGGACCACTGAGTTGCCTTCTGGAAGTCCAGACCAGAGATCACTTGGGGGCAGAATTAGGAGTTTTCCTAAGCTGACCACTGGAGCCTTCTCCACATCTTTCCCCATCCAGCAGGGACTCTGGGCACCCCAAGAACAGAGTGGGTGTCATGACAGGGGGGCTGAGGGTGATGAGCTGTCCTGCTCTTTAGAACTGCCATTGTCTAAGACATTCCCAATATCGCTCTATCACTTCATAATTACCTTGCACAGAAGAGCTCTTGTTTATGTTAACAAAGGAGCCGGTGAGTCAATTCCAAGAAAAGCTGATCGTCAGCTTTTGAAGAAGGTTCCAAGTCAGATCCTGGCACCTGGGTGGGAAGTCAGGATCTATAGCAAAGGCAGTAGCCCTCCAGCTTCTAGAACACTGTGTTCCTCAGGGCTCATCTCGAGTCTCAGGGCCTCCTCTATTGTGCCAGTGCCTAAATATATATCTACGGGAGGCCCTATTTCTGTCACCCACTCATCTGCCAACACGCTCCAGGGCGATGCCAGTTTACAGGCCCAGCCTTGGCCCAGTTAGGGCGCTGGCACTCATTAACCAGAGGAAGTCTGCCCAGGTCTCAGCACTATAGTCATAGTGGATCAGAATGAGCCAAGGACAGCCTGGGTCAAGCTTGCTTCTGAAACGGATGCAGCAAGCAAAATGTGTACACAGCAGGGAACAAGCTTCCCAAGGCCTGGGACGATTTGGAAGTACAGGGAGGGCACGGGCAAAGGCTAGAGCCAGGCCTGACTCGGCTCCTTTTCTGGTTCCTCCGGGGCCAGCTGGGTAAGGAAGGCATCCTTCTTGACCCCTTCAACCCCAGTTTCCTCCTCTGAAAAGTGGTAGAAAAAATATCACAGTAGATCCCAAGTTGCATGAGAGCAGAGACTATATGCTTCACCTGCTACTAAAACCCAGTATCAAGAGAAGTTTCTGGTATATCACTGGTGCTCCATCAGTGCTCATCAACTGAGTGAATGGATGAAGCTGCCCTTCCAGGCAGGGCCAATGCCGCGAAGATTATACAAGATAAACCCCCACTTAAATATCCTAATCCAGCCTCTGGCACGTGGCAAGGACTCGCTAGGTTCTGGGACCTGGCAAAGAGCCCTTTTCTTCTGTGCCCACTACAACCAAGCCTAAGACTGCATGGACCATGGGTTCATTCCCAGAAGGATGAGTCATTCGCATGTATACAGCCAGAAAATACAGAGTTTCTTTGAGAATACATCCCAATAAACCCATCATAAGTTGAAAACACCATAAACTGAAAATGCATCTAATACACCTAACCTACCGAATATCCTAGCTTGGCCTGGCCCACCTTAAACGTGCTCAGAACACTTCCGTTAGCCCGCAGGTTGGGCTGATCATCTAAGGCAAAATCATTGAACACAAAGCCCATTTTATAACAAGCTGTTGATTATCTCATGTCGTGTATTGAATACTGTGCTGAAAGTGACAGAGCAGCTCTGTGGACGCAGAACGGTGGTCGACGTACCAGTCATTGACCTTCGTGGTCACTGGCTGGGAGCTGCTCCTGACCTGCCTCACAAGAGAGGATTGGCTGTACATTACTAGCCCGGGAAAAGATCCAAATTCCAGACTCCATGTAGGGTTTTTACCAAATGCATATTGTTTTCACACCATCTTGAAGCTAAAAGATCCTAAGTTGAACCATTGTACGTTGGGGCCACCTCTATAGCTCACCTCACCCCAGTCCACCGCCAGACAGTGTGGGTGAGGCTGAAGGAGCTGGAAAAATCAAAAGGCAGTCCGGCTCAGTTTAAGGGGCTAAACTTTCTGTTGTAGCCTAGGACCAGGGGTGAGGGAGGTCTTCCTAATTTGCTCCCCTTCCCACCTCGGAACAAAGTCTTTTCACAGTTACCTCCAGACAGATCCAGAAGCTCAGAGCCAGGTGCAGACACACCTTGACACATTCTCTCCCGGGGGTCAGGTTTCTCTGACAGCGAACTGTCCCCTAGATTGGGGGTTCTGGGCTCTCCCTCCTGCTCTGGTCTAGAGCCCTCTCACTGTTCTCAGAGAGACAGTCTGACTTTGAATTTTTCCTCGAAAAAAGTCCCACTCGAAGGCCAGCCTATGTGAAAGGCCCAGTAAACCCAGCCTCCTAGCTCTGACTCATACCCCACATGTGGGAGGCTTGGGAGTCATCTTGAAGCTGGTGCCTTTACTAAGTTCTTCTTGTCTTCCAGCTAACTCACTGGGCCACAGAAGAGGTGTTTTAAAAGTGGGTGAAGTGTAGGTGTGGTGACTGGCTAATGAAATTGTTACCCACCCATAAAATGGAATATTAGGTATCGATTAATTAAAATCATGTTTTAAAGGGGCACCTGGGTGGCTCAGTCAGTTGAGCATCTGACTTCAGCTCAGGTCGTCTCATGGCTCATGAGTTTGAGCCCTGCATCAGGCTTTGTGCTGACAGCTCAGAGCCTGGAGCCTGCTTCGGATTCTGTGTCTCCCTCTCTCTCTCTGCCTCTCCTCTACTCATGCTATATCTCTGTCTCTCTCTCTCCAAATTAAATAAACATTAAAAAATTTTTAAATCATGTTTTATAGATTAGGTAATACATGAGAAAATGCTAGGATTGTGTGAAGTAGAAAAAGTGGATACATGATGGCATACAAGGTAGGGCCCCACTTTTATAAATGTGTTTATTGTACACTAAAAAATCTATATAAAAATAGGAGTGCCTGGGTGGCTTAGTCGGTTAAGTGTCCGACTTTTGCTTAGGTCATGATCTCGCGATTCGTGGGTTCAGGCCCCGCGTCGGGCTCTGTGCTGACTGCCAGCTCAGAGCCTGGAGCCTATTTCAGAGTCTGTGACTCCCTCTCTCTCTGACCCTCCCCTGCTCACACTGTCTCTCTCTCTCCTAGAAATAAAAAAAAATCTATATAAAAATAAACAAAAATTATATAAAAATATGTATTGCTATACCTCCAAACTTAGCACAGTGCATGGAACAAAACTAATTAATTTTAGTTCATTTTAATTAGTGGGATGACAATGATATTTATTTACTTCCTTCTTCCAGGTGCTTATGAATATTATTAGTTTAAGAAGGCATTATCTTAAAAAACAATGATAAGTAATATAATGAAAGACTTTAAAATGTGGCTTAAGGGTAGGTCTTAACTCTATCCTGGCCAGATCACTGAGTGTGGAAGTATGGTTTTAAAAAGACCTAAAGACCTTATAGAAATGGGCTTGAGGTGCCTGGGTGGCTCTGTAGGTTGAGTGTCCAACTCTTGATTTCTTCTCGGGTCATGATCTCATGGTTCATGAGTTTGAGCCCCATGTTGGGCTCTGCACTCACTGCACAGAGCCTGCCTGCTTGGGATTCTCTCTCTCCCTCCCTCTCTACCCCATATCCCCCAAAATAAATAAATAAGCTTAAAAAAAGTTTAAAAATGGGTTTGATTCAGCATTCAAATTTAACTTACATTTGATTCCAAAGGGTCAATTGATTAACTGTTCAAAAGTATTCATCAGATACATCCTATGTAGCCAACACCATGCTAACCTGGGGAGGAGATGACGAGGGGTCATGGATGAGGTCCCAGAGCTCCAAGTGCTGATTATTCATCTGAGGGGAAAAGACAAGCACAAGAGCTACAGAGGCCAGAGAAGGCAGATATATTATCCAAATGACCAAATCTAAAGTTGTGTCTAGCTAAGCTGTTTTTTCTTTTTTAAGATTTTATTTTTAAGTAATCGCTACACCCAACATGGGGCTCAAAACTACAACCCCGAGATCAAGAGTCACATGTTCTATTAACTGAGCCAGCCAGGTGCCTTACAGGTAAACATTTTTTAAGGCAACATCTTTTTTTTTTTTTTATTTCAGCAATTTCTATTTAGTTCTTCTTTGAAACTACTTTTTTTAAAAAAATTGTTTTCTTCCACCCTAAGAACAAATGAGCTATCAAGCCATGAAAAGACATAGTGCATATTACTAAGTGAAAGGAGGAACTCTGAAAAGGCTCCACACTGTGGGTTTCCAACTGTGTGACATTCTGGAAAAGACAGAACAATGGAGAAGGTAAAAAGATCAGTGGTTGCCAGGGATTGTAGAGGTGGGGTGAGTGAGTAAGGGAAACATAAATGGCTTTTTTTTCCTGCAGTGAAAATGTTCTCTAATATATCATAATAATGGATATGTGTCATTATATATTCATTCAAGCCCACAGAATGTACACCACTAGGAGTGAATCCCCACATAAGCTATGGATGTTGGATAATAATGATGTGTCTGTGTAGATTCATCTGTTGTAACAAAGATACCACTCTGGTGGGAGTTGGTGACAGTGGGGGAGGCTCTGCATGGGTGGGGGCAGGGGATAAATGAGAAATCTCTGTACCTTCCTCTCAATTTTGCTACAAACCTAAAACTGCTCTAAAAAATAAAGTCCTAATTTTAAACATTAATTTTCTATTCTTGTTTTATATAGTTTACTACTTAACCTCTTTAAGCACTTGAAGCAGACTTTGTTTTTTGTTTCCATCTCCTCATATGTCAACTCTTTCATTCTTATGCAATGCTTTTCTTCATATTGGACTTCCTCAAATGTTTTATGATTGGTTACACTAATGTTTCAATTATTTATATTCATTTATTTCTCTTATTGGTCTTCCCCAAATGTTTTATAATTTTTGTGTATGAGCTCATCCTCACTGGGGATTAACTTTTGGGTGTGGTGATGGAGGTGCCCCCAAAAGTGCCCCAGATTGTGGATATGCCTCATAGTTGTCTCCACCTAAGTCTTAAGGGTTCACAGTTTCTCAACATTTTTTTCTCAATTTCTATCTTAGGGTTTCTGTGCTTTGTAAGTGGCAAAAGCTTGAACTCAGTGTGCAAACCCACCTTGTTCTCTAATTTCTTGCCAGTGATCCTCTTTCTACTCAAGACCTGAGACTTTTGTTTGTTTGTTTGTTTGTTTACTCCTGAGACATAATTCCTTTCTAGACTTTCTGCTGTATTCAGGTGCAAAGTTTTTATTCTTGTTCTCCCGTTGCTGAGATCTTAAAACAAGAATATACCCTGGCCATGTGTGTACAGCCCCGAATAAACTAGGTTGCCAGGGTAGATATAGAATTGCCTAAGAATGGCACCTGGAGATTTGCCTTTCTTACTTTTGAGATCAAATATGTATTTAAGAGCAAATATGATATATGTTATATATATATATATATATTCAGCATTTCTGTATGTTCAGGAAATTTCAAGTGACCTTGGGCAAGCTACTGAACTTCTGTAAATCTGGCTCTTTCATAAGACCATAGTGATGTTACCATCAACAAGGCATATCATAGTCAAATTCACAAAATACTCAGGCAAGGAAGGAATCTTGAAAGCAGCAAGGGAAAAGTCCTTAAGCTACAAGGGAAAACAGATCAGGTTTACAGCAGACCTGTCCACAGAAACTTGGCAGGCCAGAAAGGAGTGGTAGGATATATTCAATGTGCTGAACTGGAAAAATATGCAGCCAAGAATTCTTTACCCAGCAAAGCTGTTGTTTAAAATAGAAGGAGAGATTAAAAGTTTCCCAGACGAACAAAAATTACAGGAGTTCATGACCACTAAACCAACCCTGCAAGAAATTTTAAGGGGGACTCTCTGAAGGGAGAAAAAACAAAAAGCAATAAACAAACAAACAAAAACCAAAAGCAACAAAGACTAGAAAGTATCAGAGAATACCACCAGAAACTCCAACTCTACAAGAAACATAATGGCAATAAATTGATCTTTCAGTGCTCATTCTAAACATCAATGAACTAAATGTTCCAAAAAAAGACACAGGGTAACAAAAAGGATAAGAAAATAAGATCCATCTATATGCTGTTTACAAGAGACCCACTTTAGACCTAAAGACACCTTAAGATTGAAAGTAAGGAGATAGAGAACCATCTATCATGCTAATGGTCAACAAAAGAAAGCCAAAGTAGCCATACTTAATATCAGACAATCTAGACTTTAAAATAAAGACTGTAATAAGAGATGAAGAAGGGCTTTATATCATAATTAAGGTGTCTATCCACCAAGAAGACCTAACAATTGTAAACATTTATGCTTGAAATGTGAGAGCACCCAAATATGTAAATCAATTAATCACAAACATAAAGAAACTCATTGATAATAATACCATAAAAGTAGGGGATTTCAGCACCCCATTTACAGCAATGGATAGATCATCTAAACAGAAAATCAACAAGGAAACAATGGCTCTGAATGACACACTGGACTGGATGGACTTAATCGATATATTCAGAACATTTCATCCTAAAGTAGCAGAATATACATTCTTCTCCAGTGCACATGGAACATTCTCCAGAATAGGTTACATACTGGGACACAAATTAGCCCTCAACAAGTACAAAAAGATCAAGATCATACTGTGCATATTTTCAGACTACAATGCTATGAAACTCGAAATCAACGACAAGAAAAAAAATTTTTTTTTAATTTTTTATAGTTTATTTTTGAGACAGAGAGAGAGCATGAGTGGAGGAGGGGTAGAGAGAGGGAGGGAGACACAGAATCTGAAACTGGGTCCCACCCAGCTCTGAGCTGTCAGCACCAGAGCCCAATGTGGGGCTTGAACCCATGAACTGTCAGATCATGACCTGAGCTGAAGTCGGGCGCCTAACCGACTGAGCCACCCAGGCGCCCTGAAAAAATTTGGAAAGGTGTCTAATACTTGGAGACTAAAGAACATCCTACTAAAGAATGAATGGACTAACAAATAAGTTAAAGAGGAAATGAGAAAGTACATGGAAACCAATGAAAATGATAACACCACAGCCCGAAACCTCTGGGATGAACCAAAGGCAGTCAGTCATAAGAGGAAAGTATACAGCAATCCAGGCCTTTCTAAAGAAGGGAGAAAGGTCTCAGATACACAACCTAACCTTACACCTTAAAGAGCTTGAAAAAGAACAGCAAATGAAACCTCAAATCAGCAGAAAACAGGGAATAAAAAAGATTAAAGCAGAAACCAATGCTATCAAAATGAAAAAAACAGAACAGATCAACGAAACCAGAAGCTGGTTCTTTGAAAGAATTAACAAAACTGATAAAACACTAGCCAATTTGATCAAAAAGAAAAAGGAAAGGACCCAAATAAATAAAATCAAGAATGAAAGACAAGAGATCACAACCAACACAGCAGAAATAAAAACAGTAATAAGAGAATATTATGAGCAATTATATGCCAATAAAATGGGCAATCTGGAACAAATGGACAAATTCCTAGAAACATATAAACTACCAAAACTGAAACAGGAAGAAATAAAAAATTTGAACAGACTCATAACCAGGAAAGAAATTAAGTTAGTAATCAAAAATCTCCCAAAAATCAAGAGTCCAGGGTCAGATGGCTTTCCAGGGGAATTCTACCAAACATTTAAGGAAGAATTAACACCTATTCTTTTCTAAAATTTTTAAATGTTTTATTTATTTCTGAGAGAGAGAGACAGCGTGAGCAGGGGAGGGTTAGAGAGAGAGGGAGACACAGAATCTGAAGCAGTCGCCAGGCTCTGAGCTGGCTGTCAGCATAGAGCCCTAAGCGGAGCTCGAACCCACGAACCATGAGATCATGACTTGAGCCGAAGTCAGCCGTTTAACCAACTGAGCCAGCCAGGTGCCCCAACGCCTATTCTTTTGAAGCAGTTCCAAAAAAATAGAAATGGAAGGAAAACTTCCAAACTCCTTCTATGAAGCCAACATTACCTTGATTCCAAAACCAAAGAACTCACTGAAAAGGAGAACTATAGATCAATTTCCCTGATGACCATGGATGCAAAAATCCTCAACAAGATATTAGCCAACTGGATCCAACAATACATTAAAAAAATGATTCACCACGATTTATACCTGGGATGCAGGGCTGGTTCAATATCTGCAAAGTAATCAATGTGATTCATCACACTAATAAAAGACAGGACAAGAACCACATGAGCCTCTCAATAGATGCAGAGAAAGCATTTGACAAAATACAGCATCCTTTCTTGATAAAAACCCTCAAGTAGGGACAGGAGATTCATGCCTCGAGATCATAAAAACCATATATGAAAGACCCAATGCTAATACCATTCTCAATGGGGAAAAACTGAGAGCTTTCCTGCTAAGGTCAGAAACAAGACACGGATGTCCACTATCACCACTGTTTATTCAGATATTGGAAGTCTTAGCCTCAGCAATCAGACAACATAAAAAATTAAAGGCATCCAAATTGGCCAGGAGGAGGTCAAACTTTCACTCTTTGCAGATGACATGATACTCTATATGGAAAACTCAAAAGAGTCCACCAAAAAACTGCTAGAACTGATCCATGAATTCAGCAAAGTTGCAGGATATAAAATCAATGCACAGAAATCAGTTGCATTCCTATTCACCAAGAATGAAGAAACAGAAAGAGAAATCAAGGAATCGATCCCATTTACAATTGTACCAAAAATAAAATACCTAGGAATAAATCTAACCAAAGAGGTGAAAAATCTACACAGTGAAAACTATGGAAAGCTTATGAAAGAAATTGAAGAAGACACAAAAAAATGGAAAAATATTCCATGCTCCTGGGTAGGAAG